GGGGGGGTGGTGACAGTTACTGTGCCGTTGCGGTTTTAAGCGGCGCTCACATCTAACGTTATCGGGACTCGGCAGCCGCGGACCGGAGGACAACTTCGATTCGAATCCAAACCGAAAAAGAAGCTTAAAAAAAAAAAAACTAACACGAATCTCCCCTCCCACGTAGCAGTCCGTTTATAGTCAGGAAAAAAAAAAAGGATGTTTGTATTCTCATCCATGGGTTGTCGACCGCCGGACGGCAACGTTTTATATTTAAACGCGAAAGATAAAACACCTTGTCTTCTCACCTGTGTCTCTCCACGCAGCCGCCGCCGATACGATGCCGTTCTAACCGAACCGACGGTTTCGAATTTGTCCACCAGGGGGTGCGCGCGAAACTACTGCAGCGACCGCCGGGGGGGTTCCTGGGAAGTGTAGTTTTTCACTCCCTCCGCAGCTCGCGGCGGACTGCGCCGTTGGGAACTACTGTTCCCGAACTTCCGTGGGAGGGAGGTAGTGGCGCAAAATTTCGCAGTGCGATTGGTAGGCTCTTCTTGTTCTCTGGTAATTTTTCTGTTTGGAAAAGCTATTAAATGGAAGGGGGGGAACCGAAATTGGATTGCTATTTTTATGTAAGGTGAAGATGAGATAATGATCAGGGAGGTTGATTGGTCATTAGACTACGAGCACAACACGGTGTATGTATTTTACAAAGGCTTTACGTTCAATAAAGGATTTAAAAAAAAAAACTAAATTGTTTTTGCAATCTGTGCTATGATCCGGTTCGGAAAGTGCGTTCATTGACTTGAAAGGCTGCGGAACGTCAAAGTTATTTCTCTTGAAAACGCCATCAAGGAGTGAGCTGTGATCTCCCAATAAAACACCAAACGTGACGGTGGTGTATTAATGTGCGTGCCCGCATAACTGTGAAGACAATGGTATAAAACACGGCACCAACTGCATTCAGTTGTTCTTTTAAACTATCTTAATAAACGTGTCGTTGCTGATGTTTCGGGGGTGTCTGTTCAAGCAGATTTTGCTTTCCCAGTATCCGTATGATGGTAACATCTGTTTCTCTTGCAGCTGTATATCACGGTAGATTTTTCTTTTTTTAAATGGCAACACTGCACTTGACCGACAGTCATAGGGCAAACGACAGCGAACGTGTCCGGGGTGATAATAGCGAAGCTGTCACATCACAGCCACACCGAGCTCTGCAGCACAAGGTTACCGCACACCTCCTCCCCTGCGGTACCTCCGTGTCGAATCTGCGCAAGTAGTTCTCTCTATGCCAATGAACACCTTTAAATGTATCCAGTTTTTACTGCCTTGTTTTA